CTGTCTTGTCCCTCCCTGTCCACTTGGACTAACACGATTATCCATTTGCCCACGACCTGTTGGCACATACCCAGATCCTCGACCCCCAGAATATCCAGATCCCTGACCTCCAACAAAACCAAACCCTCGATTCTTTGCTTGCGGACAATCAACACTTATATGTTGAGATGAATTACAAGTAAAACATCTCCGYGTYATCCGACAGTCTCGAGCTATATGTCCAGGTTCTTGACATTTAAAGCATACTCGAGATTCTGTATTGCAATTTCCCTGATGTATTTTATGGCATCAAGTACACGCCTTATCATTAAACCTTTAGACGGGTCGATTCACACTTTCCATAAACCTCAGTCTACGGAAATCAGTTACTGTAGTTTCCCCTTTTCTTTTCTCCCYAACCCTTTCTTGCGGTTGCCGGTTAATATCCTGTTCCAATATTTCAGCAGCATCAACTGCCGCTTGAAATGTTGTTGGATTTCTGGATATCACATGCTTTCGAAGATTCGATTCCAATCCCCAAATATACTTTCTCACTTTACTGTTTTCAGATATAATATAGGCTTCAGCAAACCTAGATTGTTCCATGAAAACTTCTGTATACTGGTGGACTGACATGTTTCCTTGCTCAAGACGAAGGAAATCATCTTCCAACTTTCGAATTGCAGCTTCAGGACAATACTGCATTTTAAATTTAACCACAAATTCTTCCCACAACATGGTCTTCAGAATGTTCGGATCTGAACTGGACAAGACTTCCCACCAATACAAAGCACTTGATCTCAAACGAGATACTACAAACATAACTTTGTCTTCTTCTGCACTTTTACTGATTTGTAGACTCAGCTCTATCTTCTTAAGCCAACACATAGCTTTAACAGGATCACGCTCACCAGAAAACTTAGGAGGTTTACAAGCAAGAAACATCTTGATATCTCCTCCCTTTTGCACTGAGGACGAAGTAAGGGTACAGATGTACCAGTTACCGGTGTACTAGCTCCGGCTTCCTCCTGATCGGAATTTCTTATCACATTTGGATTAGTTTGGTTTGTACGCTTTAACAAATTTACCAAACTTTCCTGAAACTTTCCCAGCTCTGCTGCCAACATATCTTGAGTAATATACTCGGGGTCAGAAACATTATGTTTACCCCTTGCTCTTCCTCGACCACGGCCAGACATTGAACTTTCTTGGGCCGACAATTCCTGTTCCCCACGAGTTTCTTGTTTGATACCTCTACCTCGTCCTCTGCTACGACTTCGTGTTTCTATTACATTTTCTGGATCCTCTCCGTGCATTACATTTCTTCTTCCTCGACCTCTTCCATAACCAGTATAGGTCATTTCCGATTGATTGGGATTATCTGCCATTTCTCAGTATGTAACCTTTTCTGTCACATTTAAACACACATGATTATTCTCATAATCACAACATAGTAACACATTTATCCTCACGTCTACTCATACTCAGATTATATCAGTCATATATAATCTATCTTTCTCATAATAGTTTCAGCTATAACATATTYYCATGTTCATAGACCCAGTGAAACCTATTATCATAACTTTCCACACTTCTAGTTTAAGTCTTAAGTATTTCGCAAATACCCAGATCCCTTAAACTAAGACTCTGATACCAACTGTGACAACCCTCATAATCCCATATACATACAATTCACATCATAATCCTCATAATACTAAAAACAGTATTATTACAAAACATGGACTAACAAAATGTATCTTTAATACATATACGAACAAACTATTATCATCATTTATACTTTTCCTTTGCCCTTATCTTGCAAAGTATGCTGACCTGCAAAACAAGTTAGTCCAACAACTGAGCGTTAGATCAAAAGGTCTAGTGAGTGTATAAATCTCATACAAACAATATACATTCCAAACAATCAGTTTAGAATCAAACCTGTTCTGAAACATGAACATATTTATGTTTCTCACTCGCGGTTACACCGCCATTTCATCTCTCTCACGGTTACACTGCCATTTCATCTCACTCGCGGTTACACCGCCATTTCATCTCTCTCGCGGTTACACCGCCATTACATCTCTCTCGCGGTTACACCGCCATTTCATCTCTCTCGCGGTTACATCGCCATTACATCTCTCTCGCGGTTACACCGCCATTTCATCTCTCTCGCGGTTACATCGCCATTATATCTCTCGCGCGGTTACACCGCCATTTCATCTCTCTCGCGGTTACACCGCCATTTCATATCAAAAACATTTCAAAAACTTTCTATCTCTTTATCCGGACTTGAAGTCCGGTCAATCTTGTCCGGATAACAAGTCCGGTCAACTTTAACACTTGAATTTTAGTTAACATCTTTGTCCGGATTACAAATCCGGACAATACTTCACTTGTAATGTTAACCGGTTTAAATTAAACCGGACAATACATGATTCAACCTTTGACCGGTTTAAAACAATCCGGTCAATACATCACTTATCTTTTGAACGGTTTACACAATATTCGTTCACCTCTTGGCCGGTTTAGTTGATATCCGGTCACCTCTTGGCCGGTTTAGATGACTCCGGACAACGCATGAGCGGTTTAATTATCCGGATTTCAATCCGGACAACACTTGGACGGTTTAAACAAGAACTCTCATAAAATGCAACAAAATTCATGATAACCAGCTCCAAATGCTTATCAAACTGTATGTAAGCAATTCATATCCAAAGCTCTTAATACACTCACCTTTAGAAATTGAGAATCAAAGCCTTTGAAATCCTCTTTCTGTGCAATCCTCTTGATTCTTCAGAGAAAATTTCTAAAAGTAATATGTGTGTGTATACCCTTTTCTTCACAAAATCTATTTATATATAAACAAAAAGGAGGAGAGGTGATGGGCGGCAACAACCAGCCGACCTCCCTTTTTTTTTTTTTCTTAATTTAAAATAAAAATTTAAATTAACCCTTTAAAATATTACACACATACTTACATAAACATATTTATATAAACTTGAAATAACAACCAGAATATTACACTCGCCTTGTTACAAGTTGTCTTTCTTGTTGGTTGGACATTCTGCCTGGTAATGCATATCATTCATCACTATTACCCTGCAGAACTTACATTTTTGCAGTGGTGTTCAATCAAATGAAACCCTTGAAGCTTGTCATCCTTTCAACTGCCTGCTCTTATCCTATGACTAATGCCCTCATTATCTCTCAAAATCATTTTCCGAAAAACCGACGCAAGCAACAATAGTCTTCCTAACTACTTTCTGTCATGATATTCTTATCACATTTTCTGTCCTGTCGACAATGTTAAAGTTGCCCTTTGTATACTCATTTTTTTTCCAATGAATCTTAAAAATGATAGGTTGAAGTCCCTTGATTATCAACCTGCCTGATGGTATTCAACATAAAATGAAAGAACCAAGTGGTCTGCTAGAGTTTGCTACTTAAAATATATTAGACTGGTGGGGTTATAATGATATCTATCATGTGGAAACTCTGTTATTGCATTTGATGTTGATTGGTTAGTAGTCGTAGCTTGTTAATGCAAGTGATTAGAACTCATATGCTGCTTCTGTCAAACATTTATATCCTCATTTATCTTTATATGTTATTAACTACACCAAAAAACATTGTTCTGCTTATGTTCTTGTTACTAGTTCTAGGTGTCACTTGTCTGTGTCCTGGTTTCTCTGGTTGTCGTTCAAAAGCTGTAAAGTACGTATGTGATGTTTAAGCTTGTTCTTGCAGTGGTGTGTTGCCAAGGGAACCCATGGCTGCAAATATAACAGTAAGACTCCCAAGCTTAGAGGAGCTAGACAACTATGCTTCTCAACAGTGGGAGGTATGAAACCTATCAATAATTTTCTCATTATGTTCATGTTGTGTTACTTCCATAAATAAAGTAGTTAGTTCCTAGAACCTTTGCCATTAAGTTTGTGAACAATACATTTTGCTTTCTACTTTTAATCATTTTGCAGCTCCAGTATATTCCGTTTCATGACTTGCTATTGTGGCAATCTAGTGTTTCTTGCTGCATCTCATAAACTCTGCTGAAGTTGAGGTTACAACCAAAAGCATCAGCCTTTCTATGATGAAAGTCTTCCAACGAGGCCTTTTAAGTCAAAGGTAATTTTAAAATTATTGCCATACATATTATGATACTTCTGTAAAATTTGAACAATAATTTTTGACATTAAGGTTGATTCACATTTCCACAGGGACAATGAAGGTCCTCGACTTACAGAGAGTGGCTTTCAGTTTCTGGTATGAAAAATATGTAGTTGTGATGTTGTATATTCTGTATTTATTGGATTTCATGTCCATGTGTTTCTCTTACAGCTGATGGACACCAACGCACAACTCTGGTATATCGTCAGGGAGTATATCAGTAATTCTGAGGTATTCATCCCTGAGTCTTCCTATCATATCTGATTGCGTGGTTGATCCAATTTCGAAAGAAATCAGATGCGATGTGTTGTTTTGATGATTTTATCATATAAGTGGAAACATGCAGATGACTCTGTTTTAACTCCTAAAATTTCCTACGAGTGGCTTTTTTCTTTGTTATTCTGCTACCTGATATGAAGAATCCTTTGTTGCTTGTCTGTTATATCATGACCCATAGCTGCTCTTAATCATGAATGTTGATGCTTATTGTAACCATTTTGTATTTCCCTGCATCAGTAGGTAATTCTGACATCAATGTGTTGTTTATCTCTAAATACTATTGACTTATATTGGAGTCCTTGAACTTCTTATGGACAGGATAGAGGTGTGGATTCAGCAGATCTTATCTCATTTCTGCTGGAACTTAGCTTTCACGTTACTGGCGAGGTATCAGATTTGTCATATATGTCAATTTCATCAACCTTTGCAGTCTTTCAAGCCTTTAGAGTTTTATTTATATTCTAGGCATAATTGAACTTTTTACGCAATCGAGCAACACTTCTGCAGTTCCACAATGAGAATCCTGTACAATGGCCTAGAAACATTGAGCAACATTGCACAAGAAACAAGGACTCCCAAATTGGATGTGGAACTCAATCTTAATTCTACTCCAAGTTTTGTACTTTTTGCCCTCTCGGGGTTGTTTGGGTAGTGGGAGGGGGAGAAATTTTGGGAAATTCTGTTTAGACTGCCACAAATGAACTCTTTAGGTCCCAAACTTTTATGGAGTAGTCTTCTGATGACTTGTTCCATATTTACTGAGGAGTTGATATCTTTAATTTGTGCACAGGCATATAATATGAACACTTTAACTGATATACAAAGGACAACAGTTAAAGACCTTGCAGACTTGGGACTCATCAAACTCCAGCAGGTGAATGCTACGTTCATCTTACTATATGTTGACATAGTTCAGTTCTTATTGTATGTCTTTAGGACATTTAATGAGTATCATTGACGTCTCTGTTTCTCCAGGGGAGGAAAGACAGTTGGTTCATACCTACTAAATTGGCTACCAACCTCTCTATTAGCCTGTCAGATGCATCATCAAGGAAACAGGTACCTTACCTGGAATTTGTACAAGTTGATGAATTCATTCTGGATAATTATGGAATAGCTAGATCATGCACACATGCAGCAGTATAACTTTGATTCTCCTTATATGAGTCAACTTTTTTGTATTCAATCAGTTTTGTAATTGCAATTAGTAGTGTTGAGAGAGTCTGATTTAGCACCTTATTACTGCTTTCCAAAAAAGAAAGCTGCAATTTAAAGATCACATATATTTTGAGACTTGAACAAAGAAATATGAAAGCAAAAGAAATATGAAAGCATTAGCTCTTCTTTTGTATATGACTGGAGCATTCAATGTGGGTTTGGAGGTCTGCGAGTCAATTAAATTGCACTTGGTTCAAATGTATTATAGTGGAAACATGATAATTGGGATATGAACCTGGGAGCTCCAAGGTGTTATCCACCTAGGGTTAGGGTCAAATACCACTAAGCTGAATGTTCAATGGAAGGTTGAATTGTAGTCTTTCTTTTCATTTCATGGTACAAACGTTTTCCATCGTAGTTTTTGTTTTCATTTCATGGTACACACGTTTTCCATTGTAGTCTTTCTTTTCGTTTCATGGTATACACTTTTTCTAACCATTTCTGAGGTACCCTTGAAAGCTAATGAATAGACATTGAATTTGTTAATTCCTGTCGCCCATTACAGTGAGAAAAAAAAAACAAAATATAACAAAGCTAAAGCAGAAATAGCACACAATTTATGTGGAAAATTCTGTGAGTGTAGGTAAAAGACCATGGTGCCAAAGATGGTGAAAAATCCATCATGAAGATGAAAGTTTACCAGATCTAGATGTCAGTAGACACGTACACCATCATAGTGAAATTCTCACGATTTTGCTCTCAAAAGAGAACTATTAGGGAAACTTATAAAGTGCTTAACGAAGTTCTAACACTCTATCTGCAAGTAGACAAAGAATCTATCCAAAATTGATGGAACCTGCCAACAAAAACTGCTGCAGAAAACTAATGCAGCAAATACCACACCCCTGTAGTGTTCCACTGCTACAAAACCTGTTGCACAGAAAATATCATATCCCTGCGATGTGAACACTGTGCTCCTGCCACATTCACCATTACCGACAAAAACAGCAGCTATATCTTTTTGATACAGCCAAGTGACTAGTAAATGAAACTGGGTCGTAACTAGGATGTAAACATTATGGCACTTCTTCAACAGCAGGTTGTCATCCATGACGCAGTCATGTTTGAGATTGTTGGGAGTAACCACTTCCAAAATTGTTGATTAATCGACAACCCATGGAAGTACAACTCTACAAGCTGTCAGAATGGAGTCTTTACATATATGAGCTTGAGTTACGAACTCATGGTTGGTTTGTGTTTAAATTAATATTGGATTGAAATTAAGTCGCTTAGTGTCACTATGAAACAAAAAATGGGATACGTGTTTTCAGGGCCTATATATATGGCTAGAACTGACAACCAAATTTCAACATGTAAAATTACACCTGGCTACTCGAATTGACAATGAAGTATTTGATTTTTGTGAAATGAAATCCAGATGTTCGGATCATATACTTAATAAAATTTCGAATATTTTCTCATCTTACCGTATATGAACATGTAAAATTTACTCCTACCATGTGGGTTTGTTGTACAATTAGCCAAATACCTCTTATTTTGTTTCTCTAAGGGCTTTCATCACTTTTTTGCTATGGGATTGCACCGCTTTATCTCTTCTGTTGGTTTCCTTTTAGCTTTGACTAGTTTGGGATGAAAAGCCTGTTGCATTTTTTGACAATCTGCGAACGAAAAGCCTGTTGTATTTTTTGACGATCTGTGAAAGAATTAGGATTGTAGTCAGCTGACTTTTTCTCCTCCAGGGATATGTCGTCGTGGAAACGAACTTCAGGCTTTATGCCTACTCAACCTCTAAGTTACATTGTGAAATCTTAAGACTCTTTGCAAGGTACTCCATTTTTGTATGTATCTTCTGTATGCTCTATTTGCCAAAAGAGTTCATATTTTCTGGTAACTTAGGCTGCGTTTGCTAAATGCTTACCTGGTAAGCGCTTACCGGGTCCCTTTACCTTACCGGATGAACATCCGGTAAGAGCAATTACAGGGGCCGAGAATCTTACCCTGTAAGTGAGTGTGATGGTTCTTACCCAGTTGGTGCTTATCGGATAAATTATTGCATACGCGGTCGTTTTAATGGATTAGAATCTTACCTGGTAAGGTGAGTAAGAGTGTTGCAGGTAAGCATTTGGATAAACAGCCCCTTGGTGTAATCAAGATGATGGTAGGTCACGAATTTGTAGGAGCACATCCTAATCCATGCAAGGCTGCATGTGCAGTTAACTAAGAAAGTAACTAAGGCTACAGATAGATGACAGCCAAACTTTATATAGTTAAGGCAAGTAGCTTGAGCTTCTCCTTCCCTAAAATGTCCCAGCTATTTTCAGTTAAAAACAAGCACTGATAATTATTAACAGTGTTAATACTGTCTCCTTTTGTACATTTAATGAAATTTTCAGTCTATGCAATGGAATAATGATTCTACCTGTTAGGATAGCTCTGCCTGTATCTGTAAGTGGAGATTGTTGAATATACTTGAATATTGTTACACATTGTCACAGCACATATGCGGATGATGAGTTTGCATATATGTGGATAATGGACCTAAACATTTCTAAAATAACTAAACTAACGTAGCCCTAACCTTAAAATATAAACTTTTGGAATGATTAATCAATATACATTTTAAACTCTCAACAAAAAAGATGAAAGAATAGGAAGCTTAAAAAACATTACTTTCATTAATTGATTCATAACACCTTCAACCATGAATAATTTATATTAGATTCATCTATTTCTTCAATAGTGCATCTCCAATAATCAATTCTCAGTTTCCTATGAAAACTTTCTCGACATTTTTGCATGATCTTTACATCCTTGCAACAATTAGATGTGGTTAAAGGTTACCCACAACCACCTTGATTTTGAAGATCGCTAGTCTAGAAATTTCTCAATTTCTTATCCCCCATACATAATGAAACCTCAGTTATGCTGAACTAAACCCACCTTACAGATTCATTGAGTCATATTCCTTGATGCAGTGAGGAGGGTGGATTTGCTAAACTTTATCCTGCTATTCTTCTAACCTCGACTCCTATAGGCCTGTGCCCCATTCCAGGCGCACTTTCATTGATGTCATCCTTGTCCTATACCAATCTTTTGTTGGGGGCAAAGTCAGCTATGTTTAGTGAATTCATCAATTCTTTCCTTAACCACAACTTCACTATCGTTTGCTGTTTCCACAATTAGATCTTCACTTAACGCTTTAGATTTTAAATGTGCGCAGTTAACAAATGATAGTGACACAAATGAACGATTTGCACCCGAATCAAATAAAACTTTGGCACATACTGAATTAACAAGGAATGTACCTGTCACCACTTCAGGGTGTTCTTCCGCCTCGCCTCTCGTCATCTGAAAGGCTCTCCCTTTTGCATTAACCTCTGTCTGTCTTGTCCCTCCCCGTCCACTTGGACTAACACGATTATCCACTTGTCCACGACCTGTTGGCACATACCCAGATCCTCGACCCCCAGAATATCCAGATCCCTGACCTCCAGCAAAACCAAACCCTCGATTCTTTGCTTGTGGACAATCAACACTTATATGTTGAGATGAATTACAAGTAAAACATCTCCACGTCATCCGACAGTCTCGAGCTATATGTCTAGGTTCTTGACATTTAAAGCATACTCGAGATTCTGTATTGCAATTTCCCTGATGTATTTTATGGCATCGGGTACACTCCTTATCATTAAACCTTGAGACGGGTCGATTCACACTTTCCATAAACCTCGGTCTACGGAAATCAGTTACTGTAGTTTCCCCTTTTCTTTTCTCCCCAACCCTTTCTTGCGGTTGCCGGTTAACAGTAACACATTCATCAATAGGTTTGTGCCCCATTCCAGGCGCACTTTCATTGATGTCATCCTTGTCCTATACCAATCTTTTGTTGGGGGCAAAGTCAGCTATGTTTAGTGAACCTTGTCAACCTTGCCACTCAACAAGTATTCATATTACATCCAGTTGAACTTGACTAAGGGGATGTTTGGTCAGAGGTATTAAGCAGTAATTAGTGGGAATGAAAATAAAAGAAACTGTTTGGTTTTTTATAATATAATGGGCTCATTCCCCCAGAAGCCCAAAATTTCATTCCTCGTTAAACTAGGGGGAATAAAAATCCATTACCATTTCCATTTCCATTTCTATTGCCTGTCATTTTCATTTTCATTCCCATTTTCATTCCTCAGCCTGAGGCAAACAGACCCTATCTCAATACATTGAGCTGAACTTGACCAGCCTTTCAATATGTAGTGTTTCCAAAGTGGATCATGGTTCATTTATACCAATTTACTACTTCCTTTCAAAATAAGGACAAAAAAAAAATACTTCTGCAAAGTAAATGGGCATTCATATGAATCCTGGAATATCTAGCTTCCTGATGATATATGTCAGGTTGGGTTGCATAATCACCTACATCCAATCTCACCCTTTACAAGTTTAGATATCTGGTTGAATGGATATATGATCCCTCCTTGTTTTCAGTGGCCTCATAACCATCAGTAGCTACTAACTACTAGCTGATGTCATTTTTTGGATTTTATGGCCTTATCAGTTATCACCGTCCATTAGTTGTTTCTCCTCTTTTGCTTCATATGTCGAGCCTGAGTTGAGTTGGGAGACAAGCGACAATGAGCCACACGGATAGTAGCATAGAGTAGTTTTATATCTCTCGGCTGAGCTTCCATTTTTGCGCTCTAATGCAGGATAGAATATCAACTTCCTAACCTTATTGTTGGGTCCATTACAAAAGAGAACCTGTACAAAGCCTTTTCAAATGGCATTACAGCAGACCAGGCAAGTTAAGTTTTTCCTTTTTTTTTTTTTAACTTTTTATATAATATTATGCTCTAGTGTCTATTTAACCTTTTCTTTTTGTTTCTTTTTCTTTTCTGATGTTTTTGAGAAGTGACACGAACTCCAGAAAAATGAGTGTGGGTCTTGGTCTTAATGAACAACATGAAATATCTACATTGTATGCTAAGTTGCATTGTTACTGACGTTTTTTGTTTAATTTTCTTTATATATCTAAATGTTGTGGTTTTCTTAGACTGCAATCTGAACCAATGGACATGCCTTTCCAATTAAAGTTTGGCAACACAAAAGAAACAAATTTGTTCCAAATCCAGTTTAAAAACATGAGAGAATTCGGAGCCGTTTTCTAGATATTAGTTAGTCAAAAATGTCTGGGGATTTGCAAAGCTGTCACAAGTCCTTTGGCTAAGACTCCCAACTTTGTGGTTGCCATTCTTTTGTTAAATAACAATAAACTGTTTTACCCAACATTTCATTCTGTAGGAGTAACATTTCTTCTTTACGAATTTGCAGATAATTTCATTTCTCCAGCAGAACGCTCATCCTCGTGTAGCAGAAAGAGTGCCGTCTGTACCAGAAAATGTCACGGATCAGGTTCCCCATCACCTATATCCTAATCTATTCTGATTTCTGAAAGAAACATATTTTACTACCTCCGGTCCATAAAAGTTGCAAGGTTTGATTCTATCCAAAAGTAATATAACAATCTTCTTTCCTATGTGTTCCAAAATTAATGCAACATTTCCCCTGCCTGCCTGCAAAGTTTAATCAGGCATACCTTGTTTAGCTGTAAATAACCCCTTCAATGTATTGATATCAATTAATTTTGACCCACAAGATTCATCTATTTTTACTCACTGATGGTCCTTGCAGCATTAATTTTGGCATACAAGATTATCTTGTTGTCTTTATTGAGGGGTCTTTTTGATAGCAGTCAAACATTTTCATCAAACTATATTACTATTGCCTAACCAAACTTTGACTAACATTAAGATGAAGTGTAAGTTTTTGATTATTAACTAAAAGTCTAAAGTACCCGCATTAATATCAGAATACGATCTTGTGAACCAAAACAATATCATCACTAGCTTGTAATCGATAAAATAGATGATCGTTTTCCCTCTATAAAAGTAAAGATCACAACTATTAGGAAACGTTCCAAAATGAAAATTGTTGCATCTTTAGAATGAGCATCCTCTCCAGTCCAAATGGTGTTGATTGAGATTTACTACCTCCGTCCCAAAATAAAAGGTCCACCATTTCTATTTTAGTTTATGTGTGTCCACTTCCAAAAAGTAATGTGGTAATTGGTAATATTTAATGATGATTGCAGGTTAGGCTGTGGGAATCAGATCTAAATAGGGTAGAGATGACACCTGCTCATTTCTTTGATGATTTTCCATCAAGGGTAAGTAAAGGAACACATTTAACCACCACCGAATGGTTGATGTTTTTAACTCCTGATGGATCGGATTGGATTTTATGCAGGATGTGTTTGAAGCAGCTTGTGATTTTGCAAGAGAATACAGCAGTTTACTGTGGGAAGACTCGAAAAAGATGCGCCTTCTAGTCAAAACCGAAATCTATTCACACATGAAAGAATTTCTGAGCCATCAAAAATAGCTGCTCTGCATCGAGAGGAATTTTTTTTTCATAATAAACTTCACCTTTCGCTCTGTAAATCTCATCTTTCACAAACATTGCATATTAATTAATAACGTGGGTATGTGATGAAGTAAGTCATTTTGATGTTTCAAATTCCGAATTTTTTTCTTCAGGTTTACGGTTCTGGTTGTTTTGATGAAAAACATGGATTTGAAAACTTGGTAGAGGAACCTTTTTCAAGAATCCAATTCTAAGGGGTGTTTGGGATTAGCCCGCATGGTGATAAGAGACTCAAACCGTCGGATTATGAGCTAATCCGGAAAATCAAGGAGGTGGTCAGGCTAAATCCTTGGGTTTTAACTTGGGACTATCAGGTTCTAAAACAATATACTCAAGGCTAGCAGTATGTGATTGATTGTACCAGCGCTGTATTTCTTGTTCAAAACGATCAGTCATAACCGGGCTTTTCTTGAAATGGGCTTTTGGCTTATTAGACTGGATATCGCCATTGTTCTTTGAGAATAACTTGTCCATTGTTGTGGGGAAGAATAGCCTACCGGATTTTGTTGCCAGAATTCGAAAGTCACTTAGAAATTTCCGAAGATATTTGGTGTTTTCACAGGTGAGTCTTTCAAGATCTCTCGTCGCTCTTTCTTGTTCCTTTATGGATTCCCTGTAGGGATCTTCCATCAGGATAATTTGCCTGACTTGTGATATGATATTTTGAGGATCATCGGCGATTGTTTCCAAATTGGCATAAGCTTCCGGAAAAGCTGTCCGCTATTGCTGCCACATAATCTTTTCGTTTTCTCCGTGAAGATTTTCTATGTACATCAGCTTCTGTTTGTTATCAGACTAGGTATGATCACTTAGTCTATTTAGGGTGATAGACTCCCATCTGGAAATTACGTTGGGCCATAAGCCATGGTCAAGGGGCAAGACTAGCATTGCTCCTACTCCTGCCAAAGCTGGTGGTAAAGTCCATTGTGGGGTGTGATACTGCCCATAGTTTTCTTTGAAATTGCTTCGTCCTTGGGGGTAGTTGAAAGTGTATCCTTTGGGCGTATGTTGTCCCATGTGTAGGAGGATAAACAGGTGGCCCCATGATAGGCTCTGTTGGCGGGGTATACTGATCATATACTTCGCTTTCACCACTTGCTGGGAAGACATGCTCCTGAAAACTCCGAAATTTCGGGTACTCCAAATCTTTTTCCAAATCTTCTTCTTTTGATTCTGATGTTTCAGAAATTTTTAGGATTTGATGGTCTTCACCACGTTTTTTAGCGCACTCTGATGACAGCAAATTGGATAATTGTTGATAGTAATCTTCGTCTTCCGCGTCTTCCTCCTGGAATTTGACACTTGACGTTGTACCTTGCTCATGATGATCTTGGGTATCATCATCCCATCCAGTTGCGACAATTTCTTCAATCGTGGTTGTTGGTGTAGGTGCATCATATCTAACATAGTAGTCCCACTTTCCTGAGTGTTCACCAAGTGTAGACCACTGTTCTCCCCATTTCCTCTTTTCTTTGGGTGGTTTATTACCTCATTTTTGTCGGTTTAAGTTGGCCTTTTGCTGTTGAATTTTCTTGTATTCTCCGGCGAGTTCTTGGATGCACATTGTTCTTGTGATTTCTAGTGACATTGGTTTGAGATTAGGGTAAGATTTTTTAAGCAACTCTTCACCTTCGTTTGTGCAATACCAGGCGAGTCTTGGTTGATCGACATCAGAGCTTCTTCTGTTGCGGCTGCTGCTTTCAGGTTGTACGTCATCATTTCTTCTGTACATTCTGCAAGAAAGCAAGTTACCAATCGAGATAATCTATGAGCTAATAGATTGTGTTTTCCATCAATATGCTCGATATTGATTTTAACACCAGTGCCAGTTATGTCATCTTGAAACCTAATCCATCTGATTCTCGTTGCTTTGTTGCTATTGGTCTTTTGATAGAAGCTGTTGATTGCTTGGCAATCTGTTCGGAGAGTGATTTCTTCCTTGTCCAGATAGTAGATTTTCATCTTTTCAAGGGCATTTAGGCATGCATTGATTTATGCATCAATGGTTGGTTGTGGTATTGTGAATTTGCCACTTGAATAGGGGGGGGGGGGGTTCGGTCTCCTTCCATATCTATGCTTTTGGTTATAAGTGCTTATTAACTTATGTGGTATCAAACTGGAGTTTTGTAAAAAAATATTTGGATTAGCTTATAATGGTACCAAAAAACAATAAGTTGATGAGTTGTTTTTTAGTGTTTAACAAATTTTGCTTATATATGTAAAATGACCAAAAAAGACATTTCATATTATTGACTTATGAAAGTGTTTGGGATTGCTTATTAACTTATTTGATTTTTTAACATGTAAAACTTTATTTTTCATCATTTATAATAATATTTTTGACAAAAATTTATATCAATAAGATTAATAAAAAATTATAACCAAAAAACTAACTTAATTAACAAATATTTATACCACTATCATTAATAATTTATCACAAAAATAATAGATCTGTACAACAAAAAAAAATTGTAGATCGTCATTTATAATGTAATATTTTTATAACCAAAATATCAATAACAAAAATAGATCGTCATTTATAATAAATATTCATCTAGATCCACCTATTAGGTCTCCAGCAATTGCACTCGTATATAGATCGTCGCTCCTATGACGTGAACTTGTGTTTTCATGTGCTTCATTATTGCTACCACATCCTTCATCATAACATCAATATGAGGGTTGTATGATTCTTGTTACACCATGTCAAATACTTCGTCAAAACTACCATTCAAACTAATATAATTGTGAATTGCCATCGACGCTAGCACAATATATACTTGTGTCTCATAGGTGTAATTGACATGCATATCTTTTAGTATTTGCCACCTAACTTTCCATATTCCAAAAGTTCGTTCAACAACATTTCTCAGTGATGAGTGATAATAGTTAAATGTCTCTTTTGCTCCTTTTGGAACACATATTGCTACAGTTTGTCCACGGCGGAGATCAGGTATGTGATAACAAATATTTGTTCCTTTGTATGGAGCAAGATAACCTTTAGTATTTGGATATACGACATCAATAACATAATACTTATCTGTTATGAAAAATAAACAAACTACTGTTATTCGTTTCAAATGGTATGAAAATATAAAAGTTTGCATTACTACAAAAAAAATACTAACCACCGATTGGATGTGGAAATTTAAGTTCAGTTCTGTGTAAGGCTTCAAAAATATCCGTGTGTCATGTGCAGTTCCCTCCCATCCAGCCCATGCAAACGTAAAACACATATTAAAATCACAAACTGTCATGATATTTTGCGTTGTATATCCTATTCTACCAATGTATTTTGCTTGCTCATGCTCAGGAATCGATGCTCTGACGTGTGTCTCATCGATAGCGCCAATACAATCCTACACATATAAAGTAAAATAATTTATTAAATGCTACGGTCAAATACGAAGCAAGATATAGGAAGTACCTTGAACATTGGATAATAACGAGAGTTATGTAAAATATGTGCGGGTACATCTTCATTGTAATTTGCATTTGACTTTATGATGTCTGCACTTAACTTAAGCACAACTTTCAAAACAGCATGGAAATACCTATGAATAGTCTCTCCAAAATTAAAGGTTTCTTGAATTAACCTATTCTCACACCCATGTGCTAAAGGCATCAAGAAAATGCCAACAAACTCCTCAATACATATATTACATGTTGGCTTTAACCCGTAACGTGTAGCAAGATCTGAGCACAACATTTTGAATACTGGGACATGTAGTCTGAAATCTTCGTAGCAACGTCTAGGATGACCGTTAAGTACTTCATGAATAAATATGTTTCCTATGCGAGAAGATGTGCGACAAGGCATACATGTGCTATTCAATTTATGACTTACTAGTGTTCCAACCACGCGTTGCGCGGTAGCGATAATACCATTTTCAAAAGGAATGTTATAGACTAAAATTTGAAGTCCTCTTCTAAAAAAATTAGGTAAATGTGTCTGCCAACTACTCATTAACATTAAAAGTTTTTAAGAGAAGTTGACAATAATCTTAGAACCATATGCTAATTTAAGTTATCAAACTATGCTCGAGAACTGTGTTACAAAATACTCTACAAATGTTTGACTAATGTTAGTAGTTTGTTTAATTAGAAGTCACATTTTTAACTGAAATCTCATTTAAGGTGACAAAATCACAATTTTAATTTTGTGATAAATTTAATTGAAATCTCATTTGAAGTTATGAAAAATAAATGTTATATAATATTTCAAGTGAAAATTAGAGAAGTGCATAAGTTGTAGCAACAATAGTGGAAGCTCAAGACGATGCATGAAGAATCACATCACCGAGCTAAGATAATGGATTTTTCCTCATAAAAAAATAAAATTAATTTCAAGTGGGGTTGGTGACCCACATATAAGATATTAAACTGATAAAAATACTACACTTTATTGTAACATTCTATAATTTGAATTATAATTAGAGGGGTGTGTCAAACCTTGATAGTAGTAACACCAAGATGACAGATAAATAACTACCTCATGTTGCCAAATCATCATCCATGGTTTCACTTTTATATTTGCACTATAATTTTTACCATTTAATTGGTTTTGATTCCAACCATGGTATAGATTTCAAAGACGGTCTTTCAAAATAAGACAACCATATGAGACAAATTCCATGATTTGACATGAAAGCATTCAATCTACCTTTCTTATACACTTCATTTTGTTCAAAATATTCAATTCTTCATCAATGTGGGACAACTAAATTCATCACATTTCATCATTTGAGAATACTCAATTCCCATGGTGCCATCTCAATACCCCAAGGTTTTCTTTTTATATATAAAGATATATATTTTTTTCAATTTGGTTGGTTTTGATCCCAACCATGGTTATAGATTTCAAAGATGGTCATCCAAGGTAAGAAAATCCTATGAGGCAAACCCCATGAATCAACACAAAGGCACCAATCCATCTTTTTTATATATTTCATTTTGTTCAAATCTTTCAACTCTTCACCAATGTGAGACAACTAAAACCCAACCATAATTTACCATATGAGAATACTCAATTCTCATTGTGCCACCTCAATACCCCAAGGTACTTTTATA